CCAAGTTTCATCAAAAACCGATGTATGGTTCTTGAGATAGCAGTGGAACAGTCGGACACACACACACACATACAGACACACTAACTGCAAAGACTCCCATTTTGTGCTTCGCACATGGGAGTCAAAAACAAACATGCCACCAGGGTTTGACCGGATTTCACACAAATAAGTTTGCTGATTCTGTACTAAACTTTTTGGATTTTGGCATTCCCATGACAAGTGATTTATAACAGTACTACAAGTAATGTACCTTGTATGTGTGTTTATATGAGTGTTCTATTGATATACAACAGTACTATGATAATGTACCTTGTATGTGTGTTTATATGAGTGTTCTATTGATATATAACAGTACTATGAGTAATGTACCTTGTATGTGTGTTTATATGAGTGTTCTATTGATATATAACAGTACTATGATAATGTACCCTGTATGTGTGTTTATATGAGTGTTCTATTGATATATAACAGTACTATGAGTAATGTACCCTGTATGTGTGTTTATATGGGTGTTCTATTGATATATAACAGTACAATGATAATGTACCCTGTATGTGTGTTTATATGAGTGTTCTATTGATATATAACAGTACTATGAGTAATGTACCATGTATGTGTGTTTATATGAGTGTTCTATTGATATATAACAGTACTATGATAATGTACCCTGTATGTGTGTTTATATGAGTGTTCTATTGATATATAACAGTACTATGATAATGTACCATGTATGTGTGTTTATGAGTGTTCTATTGATATACAACAGTACTATAATGTACCCTGTATGTGTGTTTATATGAGTGTTCTATTGATGTATAACAGTACTATGATAATGTACCATGTATGTGTGTTTATATGAGTGTTCTATTGATATATAACAGTACTACGAGTAATGTACCCTGTATGTGTGTTTATATGAGTGTTCTATTGATATATATAACAGTACTATGATAATGTACCCTGTATGTGTGTTTATATGGGTGTTCTATTGATATATAACAGTACTTGTACTATGATAATGTACCTTGTATGTGTATTTATACGAGTGTCCTACTGGTAGGGTAAATAGTGAAAATTAATTCCAAAAAGTATTTTACATTAGAATGAGAAACTGCACAGAGCATGAAACAGATATGACTTTGCAGTAACAACACTGTTCAACAAAATCAACAATGCCTTGAACTGAACTAGATGCTTCAAGTGAGTGAACAGGTAGATAGATAGTAGATACCCAAGATCTGAGCAATGACACTGAACAAACAGGAAGAGACCTGGTTGGTACAGAGTCAAAAATCACTACCTGGTACTAGAAATTGCTCTGAAGTCTCTGCAGACTCAAGACTTCCTTTCTTACTGTAGATAAACTATCAATGCACCATCTGGTAATCAGAGCAATCAGGAACAGAAACTGATAACATTTAAAACAGAGCCACACCAATGCAGACATTACACTCTTGGTAGATCAACTAAACAAGAATAGCCATGTCATGATGTACAGGTCAGAAGCATACAGGGCTTCCTATACACTGGGATTGGTGTAATAAGTCTCCATGAAAAGAAATAGATGTATTGGCCATCTTGAAGATGAATATTCTGCTTAATAATGCTTGCACAGGGACATGGGCACAGCAATATGTAGGTATCGTACCTATAACTAAAATCAGGGTGGATGACTGAAAATGTGACCAATGAAAACTTGATTGATGGAGTTTTCTCTAGCATGTGTGTTTTCTACTTACGTACTGATGAGCCCCCTTTGATGCTGCACACCTGGTGGGTTATACCATTATTCCATTCAGAGGGTTGATTGGTGAGCCAGAGACTCATTGTTAAACAAGTCTAATATATCAAATAGTGATAGTAATTGACTAGTGATGACATTTTTTTTCAAATTAGTATAGGTCCTACTGAATCCCTTTACACCATAGACAGCGCCCTCAGAGCCCAGTTTGGGATAGTTTGATTTAGCCTTTTCATTAACATGATGCAATTGGTGAACCAATCAAAAGGAGTCTTGTAAATGAATTAGATTAGTCTTCACAGGTGATGATTGGTTGTTGTTCAATAGAGATTTGATCATGATTGTTTTGCAGATAAGCAAGAAATGATACAGAGAATACTAGATAATATGATATTTTAATTAGATTATTTTATACACAATTTAGACGTATGCATAAATTATCTCTTCGTTCCTGCATTGTCTTTGTCCAATGGAACAACTCCTAAGTGTTTATTTGTGAGAAAGCTGTATTTTGATTGGTTGAGAACTGCTTGGTAGACATGGACTGGTAATACCTGACCCGGACATCTGAAAAAAAGTAAACAAAATAAATTGTCACAAGAGGGCTATATGAAATAAAACTAAACGTAAATATGGCATAATCTATAATTTAAAAGTCATACTTCCTGGTGCTCACCGGAATATTTATATAATAACGTTATTTTTTAAATATTATATGTAAATTTATGTCATGTTAAACTGTTTCTGGGACTACAATGGCAAATGCTTATATTTTTAGGGGAAGAAATTCCTATTGATCATGAATTATCAGGATGTGTCATTTTTTGGGGGGTCATGCATAAGTACCAGGATGTGTGACCTTTAGGAAGTCATGCAGAAGTACCAGGATGTGTGACCTTTAGAGAATCATGCATAAGTACCAGGATGTGTGACCTTTTCAGAGTCAGGCACAAGTGGCCTTTTGGAGGTCATGCATGATGTATGGGGAAAAGGGCGGTAATGGGTTTATAATGAGTTCCAAATGTTTTATCTTTGCTTCACAGTAACAAATTTGCCAAACTGAGTGCTATCTATTGCAAAAATCTAATGGAAGTAAAGGTTGTGGTACACTGCCTCAAACTGCTAGTGACCAGCAATTAATTGTATTCAGCCATTTCTCATTTACTTCTACCATGAGGTATGATTGGTTGCTGATCTTATATTTCGGGAACAACATTCGCTAAAACAAAATAACCACAAAAAAAGTTATTTTGCACCCAATCTGAAATATTAAAATGATGAACATCAAAGTGCTATTATGTTCAATGTATGTATAATAATAATAACTTTATTGCATCCTTAGAAATACAATGTTTCTATCAGTTAATAGCAATAAAAATTAGTTGTGATAACTACTACTACAAAAAGAAAGTTAGTTGTTAAAAAAAAAGATAAAGCAAGTGTTACATATCAAATGGCATTTTTATTTCTTGATTGAAATGCATTATGAATATAATTGCCAATCTTTTTTATTATTACATCATCTTTTGAAGTCATCAAGAAATTAAATTTCTGGAGATCATCCTGGGTTTCTTGTGGAAATAT